CAGTAATGATATACTTATAACAACAATTCGTTTTGTACTATTAGCAATACTATATGATAATGGTGATACAAGTGATATAATTGTGAATGCTACAACATTATGTATAAAATTGAGTATACCATCAAGAATTAAATAAAATAAAACTCGCATGACTAAGTTGTATTGATGCTAAATTAATTTAAAAAAAAAACATAATTTGTTGCTTTTTTTTTTCGATACATTCAAGTAAATCACCACCTACTCACGTAGTCTTTATTATTATAAATATCAACTCCATCATAAAAAAACCAAAACGGAATAAATAGACAACAGCCTATTTTAGCTAATAAAGAAAGTAATATAAAATGATGAATTGCAATATCTTTCAAAGACTAATTAGAATAAAAAAGAAAATGAATCATAGAAGTAAATCAAACAAAAGTTCTTATTATTAATTTACTTTTTTTGAATAAATATTTTGTAATGAAAAACCAAATGTTGATAATAAAGCACTAATAAGACCAGTCATATTAAATGAAATTTCTGTCATTGTTGCTATAATAACTCCAACTACAACAGGTATAAGTGACAAATAAACAGATGTAGTTTGTTTTTCATGAAGAATTAATCGAGATAAAAATCTAGAAAAATAAAAATAAAACGATTACATAAAAAATATTAATATATAACAAAAATAAAGTAATAATTTACACTGTAAATAATGGCATTGTTGCTTTTATTGTATGAGCATAGGAAATAGGTACTTTCCAAAGACTAATATGTGATGATAATTGTGCTAGAAATTTGCCTATTGCTAAGGGAATTATAACTTTAAAATAATAAATTCGATTTTGATTAAGATATTCAGGTGGAGAAACTTTCCATAATCTAGAAAATAATAAGATTTAAAAGAAAATAATAATAATGACTATATGTACCGAATAAGTGGAATACAAAGAATCCATATACTTAACAATTGTACAAGTGTAACAGTTAATGGAAACGGAAATTTATTAAGTAATTCTTTAACAATGACATTACCTGCTGCTGATGAACCTGAATGATAATATATATATTAGAATTATAAATAATTTCAAGAAATAATTCAATTATTTTGATTTTGTTTTTCTACTTACTGTACCAAACAAGACATAACGAACCAATTTGAAAACATTCAAATAGGAAGGAATGTTGGCGTGAATTCTTTGTTTCTGTCATTCAATTAATAGTCTGAATAATAATTGACTATCTGTTTGTTATTCATTTTTTGACTTGTCTACAGTTGAAAAAAATAAACAAGATAAAATGACTATGAGAATATTAATATGACAGTAAATTATTATTTAATTTTTTATAGTGCTCGAAAATATAATTGACTCAGTGATGAATGAGTACATAGAATTAATAATGTGTGCCTTCTCTTTTTTTACATTTTTTACAGCTATGTCTTGATATTCTTTGGCGAATATTTTAGAGTAATTACGATAGATGTCGTATGAAATCATACCGTTAAAAGTGGGATATTGATCGCCCAATGATCAATACATTTAAAGACACTATCTATGTTTAAAGTGACTTTTCTAGTTAAAAGGAAGATATTCTTAAGATAATTTTTAAGATTTACCTGAGAAGTTCAATTTTGTTCCATTGATATCATTAAAAACACGTTTATTTCGATTATTATGATGCATTTTTATTTTCACTGAAATGAAAATAAAAAAACTGTTTTTTTTTTTTTTGTCATAAGCATAGATGTTCACAAGTGAAAGAAGTTATAAGGAACTAAAGAATGATTGCATTTTATTTATGATGCACCATTGTTGATTCAAATTAATTGAAAATATTTACAAACTAACTAATTTTTGCACTTCAGTTCGACATATCCATAGATCTCAATTTGATAGAACAGTTTTTTCATGAGACTGAATCTAGTGACAAGTTCTTTTTATACGAGCTTGGTTATTAAACATCTGATTTCTCTTAGCACTAAGTTTCCGACGACTCCATTCCAATATACTTGTGTAGTTTTGCTACATGGTTCGGACTAGAACATTTGAAAAACGTAATGGATAAAATAAGATAAGATGTTCAGCTCACCATCTCGTAAAAAAAAATGATGGTCACTAGACCCAGTTTGTTTCGAAAAACTGGAGAAGTAACTTGCCGCCACCCTCGATAATGATGTTTATTGCGTTACTTCACATGCAAAATATGTTTATATAGGAGAGAGATGAACACAGAATAGAACAAACTAGAGAGAACTAAAAAGTTAAGAAGAAAGGACGACCGACAGGAGGAGATATCAAATATCGGTACATCCTCTCACTCAGATTAGACGTGCTTTTGAGCGTCTTAACAATATAGAAAAAAAATCAGAAACGAAACAAGGACATAAAGTAAAGAAAAGAAAAAAAAAAGGAGCAGAACTCCAAGTAAACTCATCATTTAAATTCAATCGAGTAATGAAAAAGAAATTCTACTGACATTGAACAATAAGATTTGTAAGAATTACTTCACATGATTCTTTTCATGCTCATATACAAGGTTATTTAACGATTTACATATTATCCTAAACCCTACACAATGACATGAGAAAAACAATCGTACACGATACATGAAATATGGCTTATCTGAACCTTTTAAACTGGTTGAATCCGACATTTTATATAAAACACAAAGTAAAACAATGATTCAAACCGAGCAAAAAGCACAGTGAAATATTCTTTGTCATATGTTCAATTACAAAAGCATACAAGAAGGTAGGTTTACAGAATTCATAATAAACATATAATTGATCATGCATATTCGTACTAACCAAATATCATTAAGACAAAAAAGCAAACGTGCAACACTATCATCAAACCAGAAAAAACAGTCAACGCGTTACTTAATAAACTCGAGCATATTTTTCATCATCAACTCTAAGTAAAAACGAAATAAATCGCAGCATAGAGAAAATCAAATCTCCTATTTGAACGATATCTAGGCCGATTTATTTTCATACTTTACGATCAGAAAAGCATTACATCTCATATATAAAAGAATGAACGAGAAGAAAAATATAGCATCACAATTCGCTAATTAAAGAACCATAGAAAGCAACGCATTCTCAACAAATGCAATCATCTTCTAGATATTCTGCATAAAATAAGAGACAAAAAGTTTCACATTTCATATTTGGTCTTAATAAATGTAGTGCCTACAGTTAGTACAAAAGAAAAGCAAAATTTATGCATTCTTATGACAACAGAAGAAAAAAAAACATTTTTGACATGCTTTTTGCATGAATTGTTATTCTTACCAGATCATCGATTATTTTTTGTCGTAAATGTTGCACATCTAACAGTATTTTACTATCAAGAATTGTTAGCCAGCAAGAACAGTCAGTTCGACGAAATACAGATGGTGACAAAAGACAAGCAACAGACCATTATAATTTCGGCTTCAGTGATATGTGCCTTCTATAAATGATAAATGAATTATTATTGTTTACAACCGATATACAATTATATATATATTGTCACCGGTACCAGCTTGCTTCTTTCTTTTTTGAAGCAGAAACAAATGCGATGTAGTGGAATATGAGGAAATACCTTGGGAAGAGATGAAATGAAACGTATGAATGCTAACAAGAATAGTGCGCTGAAACATTTGCACAGTCAGTTCAAACCTAGTCACCTTTTAATGCATTTTCTTCTGTTGTGTAACCTTGCTGTTCACTTAGTACTGTATCCAATCAGTACTACAATCATGCGATAGTACCATGCCCTTCAACCCTCGTCTTTTCATGCATTCGTGACTTCAATCAGTATTATTTACGTTTCGTCATTTTGTATTTCGATTGCTTTGATATTTATAAATGCCAGTAATATTCTTCGGATATTGTACCATATACAAATTTTCACCTTTTTTAAAAAAATAAATGTTTGCCACCCTAGAACGACTTATTTACTGTATATTTTGAAATGAGATCTATGATGTTGAATTATTGTTATTCTGGCAAAGATCGATTTAGAAACGAGTGCTACAAATTCAATAAGCGACAAACTGAAGGAATATCTGTTTTTCACTTTCGGAAATGATGTTCATTAAGCTACGTCATATGTCTAGAATGTAATTACTTCGCATACAACACACGCTTGTAAAGGAGAGAGCGAGAATGAGAGATGAACACAAGAGAAAATGAGAAGGGAAGATCAAAAGATGTTATCAATATCGGTACAACTGGATGATTTGAAATCAATTCAGTTACTCGATTGGAGATTTTCGGATGTTTAGTTTTAATAGATAGTTAATTATTTAAATATAGGTTTCGTCTTTTTTTAATTTAAAGAAAGCATATCTATCCCAAGAACTGATATATGTTTTTGAACAATTTTTGAGCGTATTAGTCATTTTATAGGAAAACATAAAATTTCGAGTAAATATATAAAACTTCAACGTATGCATTTTATTATGAGACATGCAAAATTTTTAATATTATCAATGAAAGAAAACGAACCTTACTGTTCTATTTTCTAATTGATAAAAAACTTCCTTTTAGATTTCACTTAGAAAATATTACAGCACAGTAAATATCAGATTTCCAAAATATTCATCACACTACCAAGTATTGCTAGTTAAATACTTTCATATACATTATATTACAAAAAACATTATGCAATGTTTTTTTTTTCTATTACTTAATGAAATTTTTGTTTTTCAAGTTACTTTTCATAAATCATTTTACATAACTAGAAGAAATCGAAAATAATCATATAAAACATAAAGTCAAAAGAAGAAAAAAAATCATCAATATTTCAGTGATAAATGCTGCCATCTTTCGTAAAAAAAATTGTGTTTCATTCATCCATACACTATCGAATTAAATTATTCATTATTGACTGTCTTAGTGACTGTTGTCTTTCTGTCACGCTTGTTATTTATCTCTTTTACGCATTCGCTGAATTCAAAAGACTTCACCTGGTAAAATAAACATTGGTTTTTTCCATTATCAAGGAATAAAAAGAAAGAAAAAAAAAATGAACAACAACGGAACTTTTAACAGTGGTCCACCTGCTGCACTTATGTCTTTTCCATTTTCAATGCCTAATCCACCACAGCATCCACCATTAATGGAACAGCCATATATGAATCAACCACCACAACATTTTCAATCACATCCTCCTCAATTTTATAATCCAAGACCAACAGTATGTTTAATATATTTCATATTATTATTAATAATTAATATTTTTTCTTTTGAAAATATTTAGATGCAAACACCAAAATCTGAAAAACGTAAACAAGAAATTTTAACTTGTGATGCATGTGGTATTGAAGTTAATTCACAACAAATGATGGATGCACATATTCGAGGTCAAAAACATATTAAAAAAATGAAACTTAAAGTAGAATATTTTTTTTTTTTATGAAAAAATAATTATTGCTTATGTCAATTTATATAGACAGTATCAACTGTTGCTCCAACAATTACTCAAACATCAAATACAATTGATGTCGAACAAAAACCAGTATGTTCGATAGAACCAATAACAAATACAATTGTGGAATCCGCACCAGCTAGTGAACCAAATCCGCCTTCAGCTCCCGTTGTTAAAACACCATTATCAAATGAAAAAAGTGTTTTACAATTAATGAATGAATTAGCAAAATTTAATAAGGTTTAAAAAAAAAAACGAATACGAAATGAATTTTTATGATTTTTTTTTCTTTTGTCAGGTAAATGCTAAATATGATTTAATTAAAGAAACTGGTCCAGCACATTGTAAACAATTTGAAGTACGATTAACTGTTGCTGATGAAAGTTATACAGGTATTGGAACAAGTATTAAACGCGCACAACAAATTGGTAAGTAAAACTAATAATAAAATCTTTTTAATTATTTTTCTTTTATATAGCTGCTGAACAAGCATTAGCAACGACTGCATTAAAAAAACCTGAACTATCACAGCGTAGTTCACATTCAGTCCGAACACCACGTAGAGGTACTGGCCGAGAAAGTAAGTTATTATCCTTTTCTTCCTTTTGCTTGTATTATTTTATTAATATTAAAAAAAAAAAAACATCACGAATTGAGATAAAAAAAAAATAAGCTTAATATTGATTCATTTTATAGTTGCAGGCTGATATGTATGCTTATTAATAAATGGTTATCAATATAAATGCGAACGAAGCTCGTTCACTTTCTTTTTTATTTGAATAATTGATAGAGAGCAAAAATAATAAGACAAAAAAAATAATTCTCTCTCTCTCTCTCTCTATTCCCATGGATTTTAATCTGCCTAAATATGTCTTCTTTTTCTTGTTATTATTATTAAATGTTATATATGCGCTAATTCGAGGGGCAGATCGAATTCCAGCGCAAATAAGAAAAAACAAAAAAAAAAAAAGAATTCTACTCACTTTCAATTCATTCAAAAAAAAGAAATAGAAAAAGCATCAGAACTGGATGGGTGGTAAGTGTATGTAAAGTAGATAAAATGAGAAAACTTGATTATAGACAAATCAAAGAATAAATACCAATTTAAAAAAAAAAAAACGAACTTTCTAAAATCAAGTTTTTTCTTAGTAATTATTTTTAATTGTATTTAATCATTATTTATCTTTTAGTGTATTCAAATGTTCGTCATCAATATCCAATACAACCAATACGACAAAAATCACATTCATCAACAGGACAACAAACAATAACAAATAATGAAAATTTATTTCAAAATTTAATTAATAATAAATGTGCCGAAATAATTGAAAATGAAAATACAATTAACATTTTACATTGTTTTGTTGAAGACATTGAACGAGCGTTAAAAACGGCATCCGATAAAATTATGGAACAATGTAAATTAAATAATATTAGTGTTATACCACAATTACCAGATAATGTTAAATTAAATAATACTGAACAACTTAATGAAGATCCATGTGAATCATTCCGGTAGAAACAAAAAAAAACAATTAAAATCAAATTGAATTTTAAAATAATATATCGTTTTGTTTTTCTATTCATAGAATGCTTAAAGGTGCTATGAAAGTTTCAACATTAGCAATGCGACTTTTTCTTAAAAATGATTATGAATATTCATTAGTACTTATATGTGCTAATAAACCAACTGTAACATTACTTAATGAAATATGTCAAGAATTAACTATTGGATTAAATGCCCAAGCTATTGCAACTATTCAATTAGATTCTAATGAAGAACAATCAAAACCAATAACATATCAAGTACAAGCAAATGTTAATGATGCATGTCTTACTGTTCAATGTAGTCTTTTACCTAAACATACAATTCGAATTATGTTAACGTCACCTGTATTTCGTAGTGAAAATTTTCTTAATCTTGATGATAGTACACGTCAACAAATAGCTGAATTAAATCCCGATCCAAGCGATATGTTAGATAAAAATAAATGTTTAGAAGCAGCTGCTGAAATACGTACGTATATATATATATAAATAAATGTCAATTCTTAAATGTATATCTGAACTGATAAACTTCGCTTTTGTAAAACATGATGATCTTAAAGAAGTGTTGAAGGATATAGGTAGATATTTGGACACCTCTGCATTCCTATCACAACCTGTGACAGACTTGATAACTATAGAATTAAAGTCGTCTATATGATTATTATAAAAGACAGTTGAGCTTTTAGATACTTATCTTTGATTCCTTTTTCCAACTCATTGTAAACGTATTATGAATAGCATCCTGCATCACGAACATATCAGTGCGTTGGAAGTCTCAAACTGAAGTTTTTATTGCAGAATTCCTTGATGAAAGAATTATGTTTAAATGAAAAACATACTGTCTCATATATCTTTACAGTTGTTAGGGTAACAATATATTTTCGCATTTGCAGCATATGGTATTAAGAAATTAGCGTAAAAAATGATACTATTAGTATTGCGTCGCTTTCTCGACAACTTTTCATCATTGGCACTTGAGCTTAATCTTAAAAGATTCTCAATTGAACTGTAAGAATATTCTATGAGAAAGGATACATCAGATAACATAGAAAACTGAATTTTGAGATGCTTTTCACTTGATTACACACAAACAAAGAGATGATTAATCTTCTAACAACATGCATCGGAATATTGTTTTCTTTTTTTTGCTGAATAGAAATGCTAACCGTCTATGGTTTCATAAATATGTGTTGTATATACTCTTTGAATATAGTTTTGTAGACAGTTGAATGGAGAATCTTTTAAGACGAACGAGGGAATCTCTTCAGTTGTCCTCTTTCCGATTTCGATGATTTTTTTTTGTCTATAGGTACTACATAATGTTCCAATAAAGGACGTAAAACGATTTGAACTTCTATTGATATTCGACTAAGCTATCGGATTTTTACTATGTCTATTTCCTAGAGGTCTCAAAATTTCGGAATACGAGCATTGTCAAATTTTGATCTGAAATCTTACCATTGTAGAGTACTGCAATCGACTAGCTCTCATAAAAAAAGTTCAAAAATCTTGAACAAAGTCTCTTCGAGATATGAGACTTTCAAGATGTAAACCCTTTTGCATGGATAGTCTATTCAATATACATTTTTTTGAAAGTTTCATATTTCAAAGAGAATATTTTTGAACTTTTTTATGGAAGCTACTCTAGTTGAGTTCTCTATATATGCAAAATTTGAAATCAAAATTAAAAAAAATGGGTTTTCTGAAAATCTGCGGCCTTTAAAAAACAGACATACTAAAAAGATTCAATAGCTTAGTCGAATATCAATAGAAGCTCAAATCCTTTTCAACGTTTTGTATTAGAAACACCGTGTAGCATCTCTAGGTAAAAAAAATCGGAAGAGGACAACTGAGGACGTTTTCTCGTAAGCTCAAGTCTGCGATAAAGTTACGAAAAAAAAATTCAAAAGTTTCCTAGTATTATTATTATATATAGAACTTATTTTACTCATCATTTATGATCGAGATTGATTCATAGTTTTTCTAATAATTTAGTGTTTTTTAGTTTGAGTAATTTCTCATTATTACAAATCTGAAGTGAAGATTACCTTCATATCTGACAGAAACAAATCGATTGTTAAATTTCCGACGACAATTATTCTATAAAAACAGTTAAAATAAACAGAATTATTGACTTTTTCATTTAATATCAAACATGAATTTTGAATCTTTTATAATACAAAAAGAAAATATCATAGAGATTTTTGTTTTTGAATATATTTTATCGAATTTAGGTCATTCCAATTGGTTTACTCGTTGTATGCTTGAAAATAATTCAAATTTGATTATCCTCCGTCTTTTACGAGATTTACAATATAATCAAACGCCCTTATCATCATTCAATCTTTGGTGTCTTGCTTTACTTGTTTATAAATGTCAAAATCAACCACCAACTTCATCAACTAATCTTTTTCGTGCAGTATTTGCTTGTTTAAGTAGTGGTATACTTTTACCAAATCATATTGGTCCTGGTATAATTGATCCATGTGAAAAAGAACTTGTTGATGCTGCTGCTTATTTAACACTAGAACAACGGTTAAATATAACAAGTTATGCTCAGAATATACTTCGTTTAATTAGTTTTGAAAAATATGAAACAATATTTCATATAAAATCAAATGAAACTGAACAATTATCAATGAGTTCAACATTAGGAGATAACAAAATGGAATAAGAAAAAGACAAATATAATGGACAAAAACTGCGTTTTTTCCTTCTTCTGGATATTGTATGTGTGTACACCATGTCATACAAATTATTAAAAAAAAAAAAACAATAAATTAGTTTGTCTTTTAGAATGAAAAAGTTTTTTTTTTAGCAAGGGTTAAATGCAAACTATAAGTCATTATAGTGTATGAAAAGGTCACTTTTTTTGTCTTCATTTCTATTCCGTTGTGTTTTAACAACTAAGCAAATATATTCAAACATTCAACCTATAAATTCTAATATCAGTATCAACGTCGACTACACTAGATGCCATCCAAGTTGCACTCGACTGCGAAAAATGGTGCGAAGCTACAAAGATTGATTATCGCAAAAATAATCAGTATTTCATAAAAAAAGTGAATAATCATTTCTTCCCTAACGATAATAACGTTTTACTAGAATCAGACTTCTTGTTCTAGCTGTATATCGTACAATTGAGGTTTCGACCAATTGTCTGATCACAGTTTGAAAAAATTTGTAAAGTAGCCAGTTCGAGACTCATTACCAAGAGAACTTTATTAACAGTTATTAATATGTTTCTCGTGAATACTATTGACTAATCGCTTGATTTTCTTTCTGATTACTTAACTAGCATCAGCTGGATTTTTCCAGATGTTATAGCAGCTATAAGCAAAGAGAATTTTGAGATATTATTTGTAACCCAACGGGAAGTCATCGAGAAGATTGGAAAAAAGGATATTGATTGGGTCTTGATACTTTTATCTGGTATTTAAACGAATATTTTCTCAGTTTCCATTCTCGATATTATGGCGACACAAAAAGTCTTCATACAATGCATATGGTAATCGATAAAATAACTTAATTAGTTATTCTAACTCAAATGCAGTTCGTTTAATAAACTTAATATAGTTTCATATTGTTCAATAACAATAGATCATTTCAAGCTCGTTATGATTTATTCGGTATTATGGATCGTCATTGGAGTACATAGTTTGAACATTATACATTTTAATGCAACACTGTTATCTTATAAATGATTTAGCTAAAGCTGAAATCAGTAAAGAAATTTTTCTTGATATTTGATTGTTTGTTTCTATTTTCTGTAGATTGGAGAACTTTTGATGATGAACGTGTATCATCATTATAATATGATTAAATATCTTGTTTAACCCTTTACCCTCAGCGGGTCATATATGACCCATTTGTAGAACGATCACAGAAAATAAAGGAAGCATGGGACTGAAAAGCTTCCAAGACATTATTTGTAGAGAACTTCACAAGCTATAGATTGGTAAAAAAAATATTTTGTTTCATTGCTCTGCCTTCGAGATATATGACTTACAAAATCAATAATTTTGAAAAAAATGCAAAAATTCGAAATTTTTTAAACAAAATGTTCTCTACTTGCAATCGATAGAGGTCCTTTGAAATTTCTGAGTGATATTAATCGATGAAGAAGTCCACTGCTGAATTAGATATGTTTCGAAAGCTTCATGATAACTCCGCGAATTATACATACTAAGGAACACAATTGACCATGTAGTCACTGTTAGACAGATGGAGGGTAATCAAGAACAAAGTTAATATATGGGTTACAGACCTCAACTCATGAGAAGTTGAAATAGTATTTATGATGGATTAAATTCCTCCAGACGTTACAAAATGGTTCAGAGTAAAATAGGCTTAAATTTGACAATAGGCATAAAAAAGCATACATTCTTTGATGGTAATTTTTATCGGTTCACTCGTTGCGTTTTTCCTATCACTTCAACAGTACGAGATAGATGCTGCTTCTGTCCAGCCAATAATGTGATCAAAAAAAAAAAAATTAACTCTTACGATGCCGTTCAATTCTCATTTTCCACCACATGATTTTTATATCAATCAAATCGTCCTACTCCAGGAACAGGACATTCGGTGGATTAGGCCGCACCATTGGCATATTCAATAGGCTAATACTCTATTTATTAAGTTATCTTATCAGTGGCTCTTCTGGAAGCGCTATGGGGGGAAAAGGGTTAATCTGATGATTAAAGTGTTTTTTATTTTCGTCGCCATTTATCAACTAATACCGTTATTCATGAAAAAAAACTTACCAATATCAATGAAATCATCTTCTTTGAAAGATGTACATGATCTTTCACAATAAAGAATTTCTAGTATTCCATGAGACTGTTTCTTATCACAAAAAGTTATTTATGATATCACGATTTTTTTGGTCTGCTGAGACAAAACATGGTGTGGCTTTCATTATTTTTGTGTAATAAAGTATAAAACATGTTGCAAACTTGAAATGAAATTATTTCACTTAGTATATATTATGCTGAGATATATCAGACTGAAAAAGATGAATGAAGTATGAATCTAGATGATACTCCAAATTTAGAATTAAAAATAAGAGCAATATGTTTATTTAATTCTGATATATGAAATAAACAAAATTTCGAAAGGTAAGAAATATCCTTGCCCAGCAAAATACAAGTACAAAATATATTCTGGTGAAATCCGCCCCCCCCCTTCCCTGCTCCATAAATCCAGAGTTTGAGAATTTTTCTCCTCGAAGTCATCCGTCTAATCGCAATCAGGATCTTTTTTCAACTACGTTCATATGCTACGAATTCAAATCATAATATATATTAATGCAGTGCCTGCTGATAAATATGAAATACATATAACGGAAGCGGTGATATGTGTGCCTTGTTTCTATGAGATCCTGTCATGTACTGGGCGCTTTTCGTGTACGCATTCTCATCAACGCAAATATGGAATCACAAAATTAAGAATTACAGCATTTTTACTTTGTACAACTATGTACTGTCATACAATCATTTTCAACAAAAAACAAAAAATACATTGACCAAAGGGGTGCGGATGAACACAAAACGACCGCACACATTTACACCCTGAATGACATTGAGATCAAATTTTTCAAGCAAACCAGAGAAAAATAAAGTCATATCTTCTTTTTCACAACGCCAATGATATCTAAGATTCGTTTAAATAAAGGATGAGTTGATGGGAGTGAGTTTTGTACGATATGAAGTGTCGTTTCTACAGATGAAACTTCTTTTGAATAATCATCCATGTTGTAATACAACAAACGGATATAACCATATGAATAAGCCAAATCTGGATGGTTAGGTGGCTGAACTATTTCTCTTATTCTAAGTGCTATTTCATAAAACTCGAGTGTTTTCGAGTAGTTATTCATGTTGTTATACACCAAACTAATATTATCGTAGGTATTAGTCAACTTCGGATGATCTTCCCGGAAGGTTTTTCGCTTAACTTTGAGAGATTTTTCAAAAAACGAAAGTGCTTCTTTGTATTACCCTTGGGTTGTTTTCACGTAGCCAACCTGGTGACATATATATGCTCTATAATTGTCGCCAGATTTCTGCTCTAGTAGTCTGATATACAATCCTTCAGCATTGTCGAATTCACCCATTGTAAATAGCAGTTGAGTCAATCTGAGTCATCCAGTTACACCTGCAGCTCCTTCTTGTATGTAGTTGGTTAATTGGCAGAGTTATTGGTCGTCATCTGACGTTAGTTCGAGATGCACTTCGAAAAGCAGATGATTTGTATCAAATTTTCGAATGTCATCTATTCGAAGAATTGTGTGTATGGAGACGAGGATGTCACCTTCTTCCGTGTAATAACCCTCCTCCTGAATAGAGACAAATGGAGTCGATGAGACGGTATGATTTATGATCATTTAAAAGAGGATTCCGACCAATTGAATGATACAAGTCCACCTTTGTTTTTCATCAGTTTTTCGAAGTCTGATTTCAATAATCCTTGATCCCGATAAACCAGAAAGGACTTCCTATGATATTGACTGAACTGTTACTGGTGTAAATATTTGAGTTGTTGGTGTAGAACACAAAGATAAAAACCCATTGTGATAAGGATAACACTGTCCAATGTTCATAATGTGCGATTCAGCATTTTGAACGTGAAAGATTGGCGTATATACCACCAAATGGCATTTGATGGGTCATAAGTACGTTCAAATTCATCAATAAATTTGATTTCTTCGCCATTGTCCTCGTATTCGTGTTGGAAAAAACTCACTAAGTCTTTAATGGCTTGTTGGTCATGTTTCATATCAAGGAGGATTTCTTTGAATACTTGGACATATATGAAGAATGATTCCAGCAGACTGAGATTTTCGCTAGAACCTCTTTCATGCACACTAATAATTCTAATTGATGTATGATTCTGATTGTACTGTTTCACGGCCACTGCTAACACTTCACGTATGGAATCGATTGACATATGGACACCTGTTAATTTTAACCTAGTTTTTGATCCATGTTTCTTGATATTGTTTGTTGTCACAAAAGATGTATATGACATCTCATGTTGGCATGTCATAAATGTCTAATACAAGTTGTTGTCCAAGTACACCAGAGGAGATAACAAATGATATTTCGTTCTTATTTTCCTAGAGCCTTTACACACATTCTTTCGTCGTGGTGCAATGGTTGACTTGGTTGACAACATCGCGCAATCGTACGAGTGTATGTTGACAATCTTCGTTTGTCATATAGATATTTCCATCTTCCCAAATAACTAAGTAATCTTCAATCATAAATTGTCTTTGTGGTCCATTCATTTGATAATTTCCACTGCTTCATCAATAATCGAGTATTGTAAATAATAGATCGTTGTTTGGACAGAAATCACTCTTTCTATTTATAGATTTGATGTTAGCTTTTTTTCTTCAAGATTTTGCTATGACATCAAAGGCAGGTGTATTTATTTTTCGGTAGTATTCAACAACAAACGAAAGAGAACAAATTCAACAGTACCATTTTGTTTATACTTATTCTTTTCAACCTACGTTTACTTCTCACCTACGCAAGAATTATTTGAAAGTCGATGCGTTGGATACCCTGTCTCTTTTGTTCTCTTTCTAGCAAGAACGAAAAACATCAACAAAGATATGGTCAGTTCGATTTTTTTTTAATATTATGGTTATATTGAAAATTGTGATAATAT